TTGTGGACAGTCCCAGCTGACCAATGAATGCAGTTTGGGTCCCGGAAAGCATGGTCGTATAGCTTCCATTATATAATTATCTACTGCTACCCACCCGGTCCTAATCACCCCCAAGGATCTTCCAATATCGATTGCCGTGGTTATGACATCATCAAGAATCGGTATCATGATTTGACAACACCTGAAGGGCTCCTTGGTAACCGGATTTGATCAGTTGTTTTAATTTCTTTCCACCAGAACAGAGAGTATAGAATTCATTACTGCGGGTCATGAGCAACAAAGATGCATTTAAACTGATCTCGACTTTATTTGTGTTTTCATTGCTCAAATCAGGTTTGTCATTGCCTTGACCAAAATATTGAGGGTAAGACCGTCTGGATTGCTGTGGAGCGGCAATCCTTGCAATTCGACCCTTGGTTCCCTTATTATTACAACATGTTGTAGCTGTTTCCAGGAAGACATGCCATTATATATATATGTGTGTGTATATATACTTCCCCAAAACCATTTGAAGTAATGATGCATTTGATGATAGGCCGATACGCTGGGGTCCACACTGTCTTTTTGGATCTTATTCATGGGGAGTTACACAATAGGTGTCTTTGCTTCGCTGGGATTTGGCAGTAGTGTTTCTATAATGAAATCTATGGGGCCCAGGCTTTGCAACCCTTCAATTTGGTTGGTCCATATCGCTTGACTGCCTCAAGGTGGGTGTGGATTTCGTCTTCTACGACAGAGAGAAGGTCATCAATATTTGGAAATGAGGATATTAAAGCAGTCTATGAAGGCAATATGGTAGCGGCAAGATTTGCCCTCCTGGCTCTGGTATGCACTATCATGAATATCTTTTGGTGTGTTTCTGGGCAAAAAATGGGGTAGACCACCACACACGCACACCCTCCAATGTCCCAATCTTGTTGCCACACCAGTCACATAGCATTAGCGCAATTCTTCTTCGAAGGCCTTTGCTCAAGATGTTGTTCCCTTTTGGGCAGATTGTATAAATAGATAACACATATAGTCTCAATAGAAGGGCCCTTAAGATGTTTTTCTTCATAAGATTGTTTTGTTTTGGGATCGGGCAACCAACAAGGTGGAGCAACCACAATCAAGTCTTCTCAAGGAATGTCCTTACATTGCCCATGTCCTCCACAATATGCCCATGCCGAGCTTCTTTAAGCGCACATGAATGGGGTGTTACCAACACTGGTGTGCCAAACCTACCCAATGATTTGGATCTTGGCGCTTCGATTTAATTAGTATTGTCAATTTTGCATATTTATTTCTCCCACCCTTAAAAGGAAGGATGCATCTCTATCAAGAATGGGTGGTTTGATTATTTCGCCATTTATTGGTCACCATCCAATGCCACTTACTCAGCGGGTGTCCTCGTGGAAACAAGTTCAAACTTTTGTCTTGGTATAAAATATAATTTGGACACTTGCTGAGTCAGATAAAGATGGGAGCTTTAACCCACAGAGTAAGTTAAAGCAACCTTTTTGGTCCAACCAGGGCGCTATATTTTTGAAACATCACCAAATTTGCATCACCCTATGTTTACAAACCCTTGTCTCTAACATTCTACGCAGAGGCCTGCTTTGGAGGACTTCGACAGCTACCTTCCCCGAAAGATCCAGGCATTGCTCTCGAACCATGGAATGTACAAAAAGGAGTTCAAACATGGGAAGCAAGTTGTCACTGGCACCAAGCGTTTGAGGGCTTCCGGTGCATACACCAAATGCTTTGGCCGCAAAGTGGCTAATCTTTTCAAGAAGTACCGTGGACGGGTTACCCAGCATTAACCCAATGGCAATTTTTCGTCTTGAACAAGGCCCCTTCTTGGGAGATTTGATGGCTTAATTAAAGGGGGAAAACGTGTAATCTTCAAATATTTTTTCAATCTTCAAACAATTTTTTTGGCAGCAGGAAAGACGTAGAAGTTGAGGAAAATCATGTTCGAAGCTTGTTTGGGGCCCACTCCTCACCTTGAACCCGGTTCTATGTTTTGGCACCTGGTCCCCAGGTTTCTGCCAAGAAACTTGCGCAACAACGGCGGCGATGCCTGAAGAACCGCAGCTTTGCATCTTGGTCTACTACTAGTTAAAGTTACAGATTAAGATGTGGGAATATCTCAATATCGGGCACCCCTATTTTGAAACATTCTTATGTTGATAGAGAATCGTCAGAAAGGGGTTCTCATGTCAGGTTCTCCCAAACCCAAGTGCGGATCAAAGCTCAACGGGTTGATTTAAATTGAGTCCTGTGTGTAATTGCTCAGCCGTAGCCTAAACTAGTAAAGATTAAATTTACTCAGTCATGGATCCAATTTAAAAAGGGTTTGTCTTTTCTGGGGGGACACCCATGGAGTAAGATTTGAAATCCAACAACCACTAAGGAGCGGTGTTTTATTATCTGGGGTGATTGGTATATTAATGGGATACATATATGGTTGATTAGAATACTTAGTTGATCATTTTCTGGAGGGTTGACTGCACTGGCCTTAATATCAGAAATATTTTGTCTATTGGGGGATTGAGGTAATGTCGTATTCAGAAACAAGAAGTGGGACTAACTTCCCAAGAAGCGTGCAGTTGCGTAGTCCAAACTTCCGTTGTAGGCAGCTTCAATGCGTCATCGCTCTATTCAATTTCATTCATGCGTCCGTTAATGTGAGATTTCAAGGGGATATGCCTATTTCCCACAATACCCGAGGAACAGCCATTAGAGTGGAAGCATGCTGGCCTTGATCAGCTCAGAGAGCCTCTTGGTTACTTTTAAAATAAGTTGGAAGTGGTGGTGGCGGTGGAGTACCACAAACTATCCCAACACATCCACTAGATAAAGAGTGGCAATTCCTATTTACACCATTTACTAGTTTGATCTTCAAATACCGACAATCATATACCCCAGGCCATGAACCAGCATTTTTCTGGCCCCACTGCCTAAGGTTTCTACTTCGTGAGGTTGCTGAAGGGCGCTTTGTGCCTCAAGAGGGCTTGCCTCTATGAAATGCTGAAATGCAGGGGCCAATGTGGTTGGCTTGTGTAAGCGATTTTGTACACCCTTTTGAGCCCTGACCCAGGGAGCTTTAACCCAAAGGGATGCTCCACTCCTGAAGCACATTGAGCCACATGTTCAAATTCGGAATCAACATGCATTGGGTACCAGAACAAATGCCCCTGGGTGAAAAAAATGCTCGGTTATGCAATGGTTCATGCCATCCATAAGAAATATGACGTCTTAGCCTGGCCTATTCCTACCACAAACATGTACATATATATGGATGGGATGAATTCAAGGGGAATCCGGTGCACCATATATTGGTAGTTCCATTTTGTGGCAAAAAGTGCCAACCCGTGACAAACCGTGACAAACCGTGACAGACCGTGACAATAGCTTAATTTTCCACTTAAAATGGCTACATTTGATGGTAATAGCGTGCCAGACCGTGACAACCCGTGACAAGGCATTTTTCGGGACAGAAATCTGGGGTACCACAAAAAACCAAGAATTGATGGTGGAATCGCTCATTGTCACCACATGTTCGTGAAGATTTAGGCTTGGCACCCTGTTTTTCCAAGGGTTTGTGATCTCGCTCTCGCCTCTGACCCTGCGTAGCTTGTACCCAATGGCCTCGGAAGCTTCTTTGGTGGAGGTGGGGTTTTCAGAATCCAAAACGGGTACAGACCAGGAAAACCACACACCATCAATATACATATTGGATCTGTATATGGTCTTTTCGGGTGCTCTTCAAGGTTGCAAACCCCAAAAAATAAAATTACCTATATTATAGTTTGTTATTTATTGTCGACTGTGGTGTTAACAACATTGGGAAGGACCCTCATGTCCTCATGCAGGCAGCTATGAGGGCATTGGAAGCCGGTGGACGCCGGCGACAACTTGCTTCAACCATGATGGGGTTGAAGACCGAATCTTCGATCTGATTGGGGGGGCTGCTACACTTGTGCTGGGGAGGCCATAATGTATGCGTATCTTTAGATTAAGCATATCTACCAAGAATACTGTATATAATATAGATAGTAATGATGTTACATAATCACAAAAAAAAGTGCAAACAACATAAACAGAATATTACGTAGTATTACCACATCAAAGAAACATTCTATTCCTATCCTAAATAACGCACCCTCTGCTGATCTCAGGAGGGAAACAAGCCGATGGATGAAGGGCAAAAGCGCAGCCGCATGGAAGTCATGCCGACTCCCTCAACACATGTGACACCAGAGACCAAAAAGGGTCATGTGTCAGGTGATGTTGTTCCCAGAAAGCTGGACTTTTCTTCTGATGATTGCCAAGGTGGGATGAACCAAAAAGTGGAAGTTTCCAAAGAGGAGGATACATCAAACATATCGAACATATTATGAAACCACTTTAATATTGAATCCCAATCACCAATTTTAAGAACCCATCCATATACATTATTGTAGGGAGATCCTATCACCAGTTTTTTGGTCCAATAACATCACCAAATACCATCATCAGTTGAGAGCACACGGGCCTGTCCTGAAAGGTGAACCTGTCAAGTCTTCTGAATCTGCGACTTCCGATGGTCCAGGGGCAACTTGGCTATGTGTCCATCGCAATGTGGTTTTAAAAAATGGCATGTACCCACTCAGCGAATAGCTGCACTTTAAACTTGTTTCCATTGGGTCTGTTTTTGGTGAAGGAATCCCACTGAGTAAGAATGCCCAGGAATATTTCTCAAAATCGGTCTTGTCGAAAAACCTAAAAGGGTTTAGTTTTGAATAGTTCCAAGCATCCCCCATTTTGAGAAATACTGATATAGACATCTATCGTTATTACATCATCATTAATGTTCACATTCCTGCACACTAGTGGAACAACCCCTGGAAATCCATTATCACATTATCACGTCATTTATGTATTTAGACTTAATAAAATAGTACTGGTTGGAATTGAAACTATAGTGGTTTTGGGGGGTGGGTTTGGCAGTCCAGTACCTTGATCCATGAGCCTAGGTACAGGAGACAATGCAGAAGCAGGCAACACCACAGCATGCAGCACCGCAGCATGCAGCACCGCAGCATGCAGCAATCCCACAGAAAGATGTTCATGCAAGTAAGGCATCCACTTCCCATGCGAGCGCCTTCCCTGAGTCAACGCTAGCAACGACAGATGTGCAAGACTCCCAAGTACTTGCGGTGGTGCCAGATACCCAGATGGATGTTGAAGAGCAGCAGCCTTCTCTCGAGAATGGCACCCCACCGCCCACCCAACCTCGAATCATTGCAAGCACTGAGAACCAAGAATACTTTCCAGACAACCAGCTTGGACTGTACCCGGACTCACCAGGGTTTACACCCTCCCCTTCCAAGCCTGCTGAAGCAGCTATCAGCCCTACAGTCAGCCTCGGACCTACTTGGGACGAACGTTACACAAGGGAGTTGCAACCTGATGGCAGCTACCTCAAAAAGTTGAAGCCTGGCTGTGAGCCACCAACACCTGCATCATCACAGTCCTCCACGCCGACGCCCACTGCACCCCCAGCACCAAGCAGTCCTCCAAAACCAGCCGCGCCGCCAAGCACGCCACCAGCCCCTGCCCCTGAACTGACTGCGGCTGAACCGCCTGTCATTGCACCCACTTTGGCCAGCGTGCCAACACCTTCAGCTTCTGTTCCCGATCATGTCCCAGAGTCACTGGTGCAGTCAATGGCCCAGCTCAAGATCTCAACACCAGCAAAGCAGCCAACGCAGAAGCAGGCACATGATGACAGCATCAAGTTTGGACCTGTCACGCCAGATGCAGTTAAAGCCTGGACGGCTATCTTGAGACGTCAAAGCACTGACTCCATCCCCGAAGTCGCCAGCCCAGCAGCACCCTCATCAGCACCTGCTGTAACCTTGCAGCTGATGAAGATGGATGACCGAGAGCTTGCCGCCAAACTGGCATCTGTCAGGGCCAGTCCACTTTTCCAGGTTTTCCTCCAAGGTGTGGATGAAAGCATGCTCATGGGCGATCCGCTGAAAATCTTGCTTGCCTATGAGCTGTGGCAGCAATTGGACCCACCACCAAAAGAAGTCTTGGAGCACAATGCTCAGGACAAAGCAGCAGAAACTACGGCAGCAGCAGCAATGGCAAAGACCACGGCAACAAGCACCCCCAGTCAGCCAGCAACAGCTCCAGCAGCAAGCAGTGGAGGACCATCCACACCTGCAGCACCTGCAGCACTGGAAGCAACCCATGGTGCAAATTCTACCCCTGCGCCTGTCGATGGGTGCATGGAAAACGAAAATGAGGACCCCATGGCGGTTGATGCCCAGAAGAAAGAGGCAAAAGCAACATACATGCGTTACTACCGTGCAGTGCGCAGCCCCAAATGTCCGGATGTAATTGCTGTGAAATTCAGGGAGGCTTGCCAAGACACCACGGGCCAACTAGCGGCTCAGCTGTTTGCCAGCTACATAGAATCTGGGGAAAACTGGCTGAGTTCTAGCATTTACCTCTCGGAGACCCAGTCGCATGACCAGACTGAAGGTGGTAGATGGGCTTGGCTCACCAAGGCCGATGCTCGGCTTTTATTCATGGGGATGTCTCAAAATATGAAGACCCCAAAACTTTCTACTTTTCAATCGTTATAAAGATATAGTTTCGGGATCCCCCTATGGAGATTGTGATCTTAACTTACTCCGAAACCCAACATGATTAGCTGCTAATTAGCTTCCACCACTTCTGACCATATAGTGTTTGTAATATGCAAAGTGCCACCTCACCTTGCTATTAACTATAAGATATTTAGACCTGTAAAGATTAGTTTTCATGCATACCACCACTTTGTTTTATTTCATCAGCATACATAATGGTGCATTATAGTTATAGATTACCCCGTGTGCTCCGGCCACTCCATCCCAGGACTTGATGTCCAAGTACCATGGCAACGCAGTTCTCGTGGAGGAGTTGGTGACAACCAAGGCCTTGGCTATGCTGCGGGGCTGTTTTTGAAGACCTTCACCCAACTCCAGATAGCATTTTTCAAATGGTGATTTATTTTTCAAGCCATTCCATCTGTAGCATGTTTTTTTCGATTGGGGATAATTTCATTTAGTAAGAGGTAAAAATGCAGTGGTCATATTGTAAGTCAGGTGAGGAACTTTATATAAGTAATCACAAAAACAAATAACACATTGGAACAAGTAGGGATGATCCTCCAAATAGTTTGGACTAGACAGGGCACCTTCTTCCCTGGAAGGTTTCTTCTGGATTATGGTGCTGGCATCCGGAGTTTCCCCAGAATGAAGCGACCTAACTGCACATATTTGTGTGACATGCCCAAATGTTTGTCCATGTTTCTTTGGGAGGTCAAACATCCTGATGAAATTCTAGTAACTGAGTTGTTTGAATCATCGATGTCCACACATTGTTTTCACCCAAGGGCCCTGTAACCCCATGCAGTAAATCGAAAAAAAACGTTTTACTAGTTATAACACTTTATAAACTCTCAGCGAGATGAGCAGGATGTATTCCCAATCCAGCCCCATAAATTAATGGCAGTACGGTAACAAACACCATCTACGATGCGCATCCAAGGAGATGAGACTCTTCAAATGTTGGATGGAATATTACAACGTGGATGAAAATGTGAATCGTCGAGGTATCCAGAGGGTCAGGGAGACCGAGGATGACCATCAAGAGTCTTCACAGCGAGAGAACCCGGGGGGCCAGGCAACTGGCAAGGGCCAGAGCAAGGGAAAGGGTGATGGGACGGGTCAGGGGAAGGGTCAGGCGAAAGGAGTTGTTCCAGGCCCAAAGCCTAAACCCAAACCGAAGCAGAAGAAGGAAAAAACACAGGATCAACTGGCTCGAAACGTTCCTAGGCCCAATCGCTCAAGTTCAGGATGACAGCATATCCCTTTAAGGTGATGTTTTGTACCTACAAGGGGTTGTTTACCACCAAAATTAAATACGACAACAGGGAATTCATTGGGTAACAAAAAACCAATTTAGATATTTACATTCACTTTTCATTGAGTTCATTGGTACAGTATCTCCATTAGGGATCATCCCACCCAAGGCTGTCACAAAAGCCAATGTGAACTTGTTGGAGATTTCCCAGTGGAACTTCCGCTTGGTAAAGGCGGGTACGTCATGTACTTAGTGCACCTGTTTGCAGATGACATCAACATATCATGAGGATCGAACTCTTCCAAAAGGTGACCCCATAATAATAAAGGCTCATTAACCACAAATATTCTTAGCCACATAATTTTTGAGGGGCAACTTTTGAGAGAGTTGATTGAATCCCTATGAAAATAAACTGCACCTACAGGATGGGCCCCCCCAGTTATAAATTGGTTTAAAAACCATTATAATCCCCATTAACTACAGTTATATCTACCATAAACCATTGTTAAGCCACTTATAAACCAACTTAGCTATCTTGGGAGACCCATCCTGTAGGCTTTCTTAACTTTGAAGATTCCCCTCCTGCTAACACTTTGCGCTTGGCTAAGGGCCCAGGTTGTTGCTGATGCTTTCACAAAGCAAATGGAAGATGAGGCTGACAAGCTTCGTGTTTCTAAGCAAGCCCTGGAACAGACTTTGGCTTCCGGTGGTGATTTGACCCAGCCCACGAAGTCCCTGGAGGATGCCAATGAACAGTACAGGAAAGCATCCCAGGCGATTCGGAAGCATACCACAGCCCCGAAGGAAAAACCAAAGGCCAAGGCAAAGGCACAGGCCAATGGAGCTTAGATACTTGCGTTTTGGGCTTAGCTGGGATGTGTGTTGAATTTTGATGAATTTTGTACTTTGTTGTCCCTGGCTTCGCAATCTTGTCATTCACCTAGATTGAACCGGCGAACCCATTTTTTCGTGGATGAAAACTTTTGCCCATACGCCCAGCGATCGGGGATGCCCAAGATTTGCGTTCAATTTTGCTCCAGGCATTGAAACATGCCCATGTTGAAGCTCGGTGCACCAGCACGTTGTCTTAGCTACAGTAAAGACATTTGGCCCAAAACAGCCTGTGATGCCCACACATTAGAACCTTTGTGGGTGGGCGCTCGTGGTTTCTACTCAAGGGCTGCTCAAGGGGAATATGACATGACCACCAAAAATGTTTGCAACAAAGACCATTGGCCCACCCTTGCAGTAGCTGAGCGAGCCCATGAGGGAGTTGTGTAGGAAGGCTTGCGCCATTGATGTCACATCAGCTCGGAGAAAAAATGTTTGAAGATGCGGAATGCCATGCCCCTACAATCACCCCACAAATAAACGGTCACTTTTTCATGGGGATGGATATTGTAAGATTGTCCAGAATCCATGCAACATTATGGGTGTTCCTTAATCCTGGGTATGGGTGTCCCTTCATTCTAGGTTCCTGCCCAATTAAACCTTCTAGATTTGTTGAATGAAACCGCCCCTACGCAGGTAAACTTCCTGGTGATCGTGCATTCGCTGAACATCTTGTTGGATCTCTTGGTCGGGGCGTTACTTCATCTGCACTAAGGGATGGGTTAGGCTCCCAAATTTTAAAATAACCCCAAGCACGAAAAGACATTTGTTTTGCACATAAATAAAATCAACATTAGGACCCACAGGAAAAACTGATGATAGTAGTGCCAGGGTCAAAACATTGCATATGTATAGTAGGGGATGGTCATACCCACATCATAGCGGTGTAAGTTTTTAATGCATCAGGATCACCGTACCTATAACAAGAAGCTTTGACATTATAAATATGAATGTTTTGATCATGGCAGTAACTGATATAGACCAAAGATAAATTTCAACCCCATGTGCCATCACACCCCACTTAGGCGACCAGTTGCATTGACATGCAGCGAGCAGCGCAAGCTGCCTGCGAAGAAGCTAAGGCGCGATTATGGTTGGATATGGCAGGTAGCCCCAGAATAATACTATATTGGGGACAAACTTGAATATAGTTATTATTTTTTGAGGGATGGTTATCAACAAAAACGTTATCTTCCACACTCCATTTAAAATCGAACAGGTAATGTGTTCTGAATTCTGAAAGTGAATCAGCGCCAACAAAAATACATGCCGTTCAATATACCCTCCCAGAACATGTGTAATCGGCAGGCCTATGGATCTACCCTATCGCCTTTGACTGCCAAATTGGCGAGGCTGGGTAGTTCAGGGAAGTATCCTGGAAACGTAGAAAGAGATCTACATCGCGCATTGGAATTGCCCATACCTGTATATTGGGTGGAAGTCCCGGTCCGATCATTAGTCGACCGACGTTCTGTGGAAACTGCCTGGCTCCCAATGCTCCTTCCGCACCAGATTTACCATTACCTATTTGATGCTTTGCTCATACATCAAGTTAGCAAAAGGTTACCCTTGACATTACTATTTCATTACAATGGTATTCTGGCCCAGGTTGTTTTTTTTTGGTTAGTCTTGCACAATGTGAGGAATCCAAGAAGTTAGTGCGTGACGACCGAGCCATCCGACAGTTTTGGGACCATTGCACTGCGACTGGTTTCCTTCAATCAGACCACCCCCTAAAGGGGCAGAATCCTGTTGGCACTTATGGCGACGACTGTCGTTACAATAAGGCTGGGGAGAAACTAGTGGTACTCAACTTCAATTGTTTGCTACAGGAACCCCGGAGAACCTTGGGTTGAATCTGGCATTCCCCCTTTCCAAGTCGCACCGATTTTTCCTGTGAAGTAGTAGGCATTTGATTTGTATCCAATTCTGTTTCACAATGAACACCCCACTTCGTGGCCCAGGTCTTGACCTTTGCAGGTTCCCAATGTTCACTTTGAGGGTGAGCCGGCTTATCCCAGACTACACCATGGAGCGGATTTATCATGTTTTGGCTTGGAGCTTTCGGGCGTCTTGGCATGAAACAACTAAAGCAGACAATTTTCTAGAAAACCAACTCAATATCAGATATATCTGATCTATTATGTTTGTTTATACTCATGAGTATACAAAACATAATATATATACATATATATATATACGTATATGTAGGACCGTGCTATTTTTATTCAACACACATCACCGCCTTGAGGCAATGGCACATGGGGTTCATCCAGAAGTTGATTTTGAAGGTCACCCGCTACCAGCAATGCATGCCAAATGGAATGGCAAACCCATTGCAGGCGATTGCTTTTAGAAAGTGTTGATTTTCCACAAAGGTTTCTTTTGTTTCGGGGTTCTGCTCCCAATCCCAGTTTCCAATCCCAAATGCCTCAGCCATAGCGAATTGTCTTGCCCGGTGTTGCCTCAGGTGGCTGTGCTGCTCTGGTCGAACACCGAGGAGACTGGAAGTGGTTACGGGAGGCTTATGGCCTAACAACACATTGGGGTAGCGGTACCCATATCTGCCATATATGTTTTGCCAAAGCGGCGAAGAGCCCATGCCCATTGTCTCGGAAACTTACTTGTATAAAAAGATATTTTTTTACATGGGGTCTACTTTTCTTTGATGGGTTGATGATGATTTATGATTGTTTTTTTGACCAGTCATGAACAATGACATACCAGGTGGACACGTCTCTGGCATAGTTTCAGGCGGCGTTCCCCTGCCAATGCATTAGCACACGCGTTCAGGCTGGGAAAAAACAAAACCATACGGTTTCAATACTTCTAGCAGCTAGCGATAAATTGTTCGTGTGGCCCCTTTGGGGTATGGAGTGTCAATCCCTTGGAGGTCCAGCCATCCGCTGGTCACCATCCCAGGGTTCCAAGTGAGCCAACTGCGGTTTTGCTCAATGCACACGATCAATTTAGGAGTCTTGCAAGCCCTGAATGGAAGTGTCTTATCATTACTTTGCTCCCATGGACCCTTGGTTTAGGTTGATTGATATTTTCAATTCCCGTTGGAATTAGCCGGGTGGCTTTGGACCCACAATTTGTAGACTACAATCCAAGTGGCCCCCAGGTAATTTACTACAACGTTCAGTGCCTGATGTTTTTTTCTCGAATGATCCAAAAATTTTTAGCCAAGAGAAATAATTCGGGCTTCAAGTTTATAGTCTGAAAATATGGCACCCAAAAAATATTATGACTATTTTCCCCATTAAGTGGCTTGATGGCATAGTCACATTTTAAGACACATCCACTATCATCCACTTCCCAAATGCTTTGGTTTAACTCAGGGACCCTGAGGTAAGTATGAGACCTGAACCAACATGCTCAGATTGCCTAGGATTCTTTGAAGCTGGCAGTCGTGGAGTTGATGATACTCAGCTACGCAACTGTTGCGGAAGGTTTCGGCAATGGGCCAGAATAAACCGATATGAGTGGCTCACCTAGAATACCTATAAGTAACTTTTTTTGGAATCAGGGGTTCCCTTAAAAAAAAAGTACATGTTTTCTTCTTTCACTCTATTAGTGGCAATCCAGGCATTCGCAAGGATTCTTCACGACTGGTTTGGTGACACATGACAATGGGTACCCATCTTTGAGCTGCAAGGCTTACAATGGCAGAGTCTTTTTGCTGTTCCTTCTGGTTTGCCTCGAATCTTTGTGTACTTCAGTACGTGACCGAGAACTGGATCTTGCCATCAGCACGTGCAAAGCTTTGGCAGTTTTTTCGACCGTGTCGAAAGGGCGGGTCGGTATTTGAGTGAGGAAGAAGCCCGTGGGCAATGTGAATCTTGCTGGGGGTTCATTAAGGGCTACTACAAGCTTGCGGATTTAAACGTTCAAAGGAACGTGTCGAGGTTCAAGCTGTTGCCAAAACTGCACATTATGTGCCATTTGGCAGAAGATATTTGGATGTACAGATACAATATCAAATATCACCATACCTACAAAGATGAAGATAATGTAGGATTGTTGAAAAAGTTGGCTGTTGCTGTTGCAAAGCCAATCATGGAGTATCGTATATTACTCCGATGGCAGTTGCGGTTGGTATGTTGGCAACCAGGAACTGGTGTTTGACCAACGCCCTGCCCTGCACCCAGAAAAATGCAGCCGAGATGCATTCCATGCAAGTGGGCATGGTGTTCGTGGTGGCTTGAAGATGGGCAGTGTGGAGGGGTGAGACATTGGTCGTGGGATGGAATCATGTTGAATAAATACCCATGTTTTGTTGGATTTGATGGTAACCAATGGTATCCGCAAATGTCATCGAAAAAACCTATCGGATATCAAAATATGGTATCGGTAGCCAAAAAACAGATACATCAACAAATGTCATGCAATAAGTGCAACGCAGGATCCCTAGGGATTGTTGCTGGTACTCAACAAATGGATGGAACATGGAAGCACTTGAAAAAATGGCGACCTCCGTCGATGCTCCACAAAAAATCCAAAACGTGTACCAAAAAAATACACTTGGGCCTACAGCTGGACATGGCGTCACAACGCTACCTTATTGCAGACTGTGGCTTCTGCTTTGCCACAAGCGCTCTGGCACCGCTAGCGTCGAGAAGAGGAAAAAACTGGAAGAGTGAATGCCGCCCTTGAAGAGCAAAATGTTTGATGTTTTTTTTGACCCTTGAAGAGCAAAATGGAGTCACCGCGCAGGCGAAACGCACATTTTCACTCTTGAGTCACACGCCTGCCAATCGAAATGAATGTCCAAGTTGCAAACATTTTTTGACGACTCCTGCAAATACCAGCATTTTGTCTCTTACCCTCAAAAATCAGAATTTCAAAACCATCACCCTTACAAGGGCGCCGAGTCAACCGGTTGCCATGTTTATGGTAGATATGCCTAACATTATCTAACTAGTTCATGTATCAGTTCATGTGGCGGCTAAATCAAACCAACAAACATCACTGAGGGCCGCCCTTGCATCGACCCGTTTCGTTCTGGCGGTGGATGATGCGACCAAAAACACGTGGCACGTAATACGTGCTAAATCCCCGTATGTATGTTGATGAAATATGATATTACATGTCATTAAATCATGTCCATCCAGCATGTTGATCCATAAAAGAGCTTATTAAAACCACATTCCCTGTGGCGCAGGGTTCACTTGACCTCACAGGGTCAGCTGAATACACAAAACATCATACCTCCAAGTTAGGATTCATTTTAGAAAGGTAAACAAACCACTCAGTGCTTGTAGGGACTTGGTTCTTCATATTGCCCATAATATATATATATATATATATATTTATAATATATATATATCTCTCTCTCTCTCTCTCTCTCCCTCCGCCTCCATATTAATTACCCACACCTCTCACCATATTCAAATTAAAGGTCAAGGGGACTCACTTTGAACAGCAAAGATTCCGTCACTTTTCGTCACTCAGAGCAGTACTGATAGCACCTCACCCGGTAAAAAAGTAGAGCTCAAAAATTGAACTGTTGTAGACTATTGCCAACTGTCACGATGCAAAAAGCAGGGCCCATCCTAGTTTGTTTTCCATTCCCTGACCTCATTTCGATCGCTAACCATCGCTAACCCCATCGGCCGAAGTCCCACTTGCGCACACAAACTTGACTCAGTTGTACATACAGATTTTTGACTCAGTTGTGCACACAAAATGGACCCACTTGTGCACACAGACTTGGGGGTGGGGTGGGGCTAGGAAAGAAAAGGGTAGGATCTACAGCCACAGCCGTTGCTTAACTTCATTATAGAGACACTACCGCCACTCGACTTCCTTCGACTAACCATCACGCTTCAACCTTGGGGGGTGGGAAGGGGCTAGGGAAGAAAAGGGTAGGATCTACAGCCACACCCGTTGCTTAACTTCATAATAGGGACACGACCACTGTAGGAATTTATGTTCGACACCTGCCAGCTTTTCCGTTTTCAACTCATGGTTGGATTGCTGCAGCTGAACGTTTGGACTTGTGTTATTTTTGCAGGGATCAATTTTTCTTTATGCACAGGGAAAACACTGTTAAAATCTAATGTTATCGGTATTTTTGGTATTGAATTTATATTTCTGCAAAACCCAGTTTCCAGGACTGCTGCCGGGTGTTTTTCCTGCGTGCCCATCCTTCACAAATGACTTGAAACATCCTTGGCCCTGGGTTTGATTTTTGACACCTATACCTATCAAGCTGTCCTTTTCAGCTCATATTTTCGGCCTTGCGTCAATACTCAATTATTTTGGTGGGTTGCGACCTTTGCAAAGCTTGTAGTCACAACGTTTCCCCCGCTTTCAAAGTTGATTTGCCCTCCGGGGGGGCCGTCACTCGTGAGGTAATTCAGTTCACAATGAGTGGCGGCGGGAATTAACCTGTTATAAATACCCCCTGCGCCTTCACCCATGGTCGAAACCTGCACGTTTTTTCGTTGTATAGGATTGGGGAGGCGTTTTCAATGCTGGGGGGCTAGTCATGCGTGTACAGTTGTATGTCTGGCTCCTTACTGCAGCTAGTCGCTACTTTCCTGTTCTTGTTTGTCTGCTTGGATGCGGGGGCTTACGGCTTCGGCCCGGTCCTGTCTAGAAGGTAGGTACTCCTTCTTGCGCCGTCTGTCCCTGTGATGGATTCGGCTTTAGGTTGTCTAGACTCCGCCTTGGACTAATCCTTTAATGGACTACGCAGCTGCGTTGCCAATTGGTGGCTTGCCATGGCTTGCCTAGGTCTAGGTAGCTTACTTGTACAGTTAGGTGGTGGCTTAATTCAGATTGGGTTTTCTTGCCCGGTCACTCCGGTGGCCTCTTTCAATGTGCTCCCACAGCACTGTGGCTTCGCGCTGCTTCCCCTATTTGTGGACATGGAGCGCTTCGGCAAACTCAGGTTCACGTCACAACGTATGGCTTTCAAAATTGATTTGGTGTCCATCAACCTTTTTATGAAATCCATTTCCCCCCGTTCAAAATTAAAATGGTGTGTATCAACCTTTTGTTGATTTTCATTTTTCCCCCTCCGCTAAAATCAGCCCATTTTTTTCTGGGACCTGACATTTTGCAGATTTTCAAGATAGCTTTATAATAGCGATTATTCTCCTGTCCTATGACATTGTTCTCTTACCCCCAACGTTCCCATTTCAAAATTAAAATGGTTGTCCTGACCTTTGCAACCTGGGGGGGGTGCTAGGAAAAACCACTTATGGAATTATTAATTTTGGGGGTAAGCACAAAGGAAAATAACCTGGCGGTACCAACGCGCATATTCAAATGAGCGTACCACCACCCACTCTTGGAACTGCAAAGCAATCTCCAACACGTCGGTCTCGTTCTTGTCCCATCAGCATCATCTTCATCATCATCACCATCACCATCGCCATCACCATCACCATCATCATCATCATCATCACATCATCATCATCATCATCATCATCATCATCATCCGCGTGCACAACCGAGGCACCTTCCCCATCCATCATTAACCCAGTTTTCCAACACCGCGCTTGTTAATTGTTCTCTTGTCTAAATCTTCAATCTTCAATGGTGATGGCTTGCCTCTGTTTTTCAGGCGAACCCAGCTGGTTCCAAACCTAATTCTTGGCCTCGGCTCTTCCAGTTGATCCATCAACCGGTTTGCCTCACATGTGGTACATGGCTACCCCATGGTAGTCTGTCTCAACTGGTGAGTTATCCATCCTGTCCCTATGAAAAAAATGCGTTCATTGTTGGTGGTATACCACCCATGTTCAGAAACAATGTCATCCCAATAGCTGGGGCCCACTGGTACTCCAAGAATCTCAGGGAATCCGGGACATGGGCCGGTGGTTGTTGCATAGAACTAGAACTCGCAGACGGGTCGCCTTTTGCGCAGCCAAAAAGTGTGGCTGCACTGGGAAGAAGGTTGGCTGTGAGCTTAATGTATATAGTTCAATAAATCCTCACCAAGGTAGCCATCCAAGTGTGATTCAGGTTTGGGATAATTAAAAGACAAGACATGTTTTTTTTTGGGGCCGCAAATGATGGAGATGAAAAATAAAACGAACAACTAACTCGAGGCGTCTGTCCAGGCCAGTTCCAGCAGGACATCTAGAGACAGAGCCCATTATTGTCTTCGTGCTCAGGTGACCCAGTGGCCCAGGCCGTTGAACTTTTCAAAGATAGTCAAAGCAAATGTGATGACCCTCCGATCATCAGTGTGTGAAATCCACATGTTGGAAAATAATCCTCTCTAATTTTTGTCACTTGTTCCATCGTCAGCATTTTTTCAACTGTGGCCCAGTACCCACCAAACACACCCTATCTTGATGTCTCATTCTCACCCATTTCTGGTAAAACTGGGGATAAGCTCACCATGGTCCAAACTCTGGCAGCGACACAAAAAAAGCCCGCCTGTCACCAACCCAGGTTCTGGGGGCGACCTCGTCACGCGCTCCATCCTTGAAATGGGTTGCTGCAAACCTGGGGATGCAGCCGTGGGACCCGAGTGCAGAGTGGAGATGTTTCTGGCTGGGTTTAGTGTGGAAACTCAAATTGTTTCCTCTGGCGGAGTAAAACCACCAAGCAGGTTATTAGATGTTGCACCTGGTAAGATATTTATAATATATATATATATTATAAATTTATAACTTGGGATCCATGCTGATTAGTGTCATGGTACGGGTACCCTAGTGTGATTTTTTTCAAGCGGAATTCAGTGTCCTGAACTCGGGGGGTAGTTGTTTTTCTCAGACCCATTTTTTCAGGATGAAAAAAGAAGGTCCAAGATAACACCCAAAACCGTCTATCCACCGTTCTGTGGGTAAAACCGGATATAATGTCAGAAAGAATGCCAGAATAGATGCCAGATAGAATACCAGAAAGAATGTCAGAATAAGATCGAATGCCAGAAAGAATCCCAGAGTATATGCCAGAAAGAATGCCAGATAGAATGTTAGAATATAGATCCAACATATCCAACATATACTTCCAGATGGTATGTCAGAAACTGTGTCCGAATAATGGGTCAGGGTGGGGATCACTCGAAGAAAGTAATTGTTTGGATGATACCCTATTGTCAAATTGTGCTCAAAAAGTTTTTGGTGCTAAGCAATTCCAAAAACCTTTTATCCAAAAACATTTTATCCACATATCTTTGGGTAAAGCTGTTCCGTTCACTTTAGGAAGCCAGATCCATGCTGAATCCTAAGAATGCAAGGTTTCCCATGTGATTATGTTTTTAATTATGAAGTCATGATTAAAAGAACGGCACAACAGCATCCAATTGTTTTTTCAAGGGGGTACCCCATGAGTGACCCAGATCCCAGATCTTCAAAACATATCCCCGTAGATTCTTAGATGACCCCCTGGCCCTCAGTGGCCCCCATGGGTATTCCTATCTACAAAATGAGGTCCCTCACCAGAACAATGAAGGACCATGCCGTCCGGAACAAATAGAAAAACATCTTTATATACCACCAACAACTAATATGTACCGTATATTTTGCGACCCCTGAAGGCCCTCATTTGAAGCACATCAAGCCTTTAGATCCCTTATGTTAACCTTGCTGGAAAGAATCACATGTTGTAAAGTGGTATACTGAATATGGGGTCTTCATTTTGTACTAAACTATCTCTTACACAAGCTTGGAAAAACCCCTCATTTTGTAGAGCTAAGCAGTTTGCATTTGTTTTTCTCAACAGCCAGCGTCTGTATAAAGTGAAGGCCTATGATCATATACTGCAACCCAAGATGGTTCAGGCATTTTACTTTAAAAAATAGCATATGCCCCTTCAAGAAAAAACTGAACACCCAAAAACAAAAAATGCGTTTTTAATGATGGGCCAAAGCCCACTATGGTTAATGTTTTCTCAGATGTCTAAAATCCCGCCCCATGGGGGTGTTTAAAATCAAGGCCTATGGCCTGCTGCCAAAAACAAGCCCGCAGAGACTGTTTAAAATTCAGTGTGTTTGAGGCCGCTGGGCATCCTGATTTAGTGCAGGTTACCGAGACGGTAACTCAAGATTTTTTTTGGTTTGGATGGTACTCTATGATGCTCAGATTTTGTTTCGGTTGAAAAAAACACAAATCCTTTTATCCACCTTTCTTTGGGTAAAGCTGCTACCTGAATTGTCCGTAGGTTCCTTTCTGGCTTAAAAGGAAATACAATTGAAAGTAGATTGATATAAATTGAAATCATTACATATCCAGTTGAAAGTAGTTGGACATGAATTGGAACCCTTACTTGTCCTTAGATTTCTTGCGGGTTCAACAGGAACATGGATTGAAAGCAGTTTGATATGAATTGGAATCCCTACTTGTCCTTAAATTTCTTTTGGGTTCAAAGGAAAAAATGAAAACAAGTTGATATGAATTGAAATCCTTACTTTTTCTGAGATTTCTTTGAAAATAAGAAGAGAAAGACTTGAAAATAAAATGATTACATTGACATCCTTACTTATCCTCTATTTCTTTACAGGTTTAAGAGGAAAATCAATTGAGCAAGTAGATTGATTTATGGATTTCAATTCAAGCCCTTACTTTTGAATAGATTAAATTTAGAGCCAAAAGGAACATGAATTGAACCTAGATGGAAATGAATTGAAAGCCTTACTTATCCTTAGATTTCATTTACAATAAGTTACAAAAGAAAACCAATTGAAAGTAGGTTCAAATGAATTGGAATCCAAACTAATCCTGACTATTGAAAATCTAAAATAAACACATGAAAGTAGATTGGCATTAACTGAAATCTTTACTGAAGAGTTGATCACCCTGAGTTCCCCAGACCTGGTCCCATGAAATTTCGAATAATAGTGTGTATACCTTAATTGTTTAGGGGGCAGACTCGGGCAGACCTTTCTACGCTAATCAGCATCCAACATTAAGGTATACCTAGACGCAGTGCCCATAAAAAACAGATGTTTACTTCATAACTTAAATACATTTGACTATCTTTTGGTGTGGTATTTGAAGGGTCCTGGTATAGACTGTGCTGTTGTGGGGACGGGAGAAGATGCTGTTCTTCGCCAAGAAATCGCCCCAGGTCAGGAGGGGAAGCGTGAGCTGGGAGCGTGTGGATATCATTGATATTACCCTCTGGTTATGACTAACATAGCCATGGTATAGATGGCCCATAGAAATAGATGGTTTACCTATTAAAAATTGTGATTTTCCATGATTTTCCATGGCTATGTTAAATAACCAGATGGTAATGTTAGTAGAGCAATACCAATAAAGCACCCATATGGACTGGTTGTCTTTACCACCCATTTGTGGTACAATTATGGCTGGTTTAATACTACCCTACTATCATTAATAATAAGCAATTCATCATTACTAATCTGCAAATGAAATACTTTAATCATTAATGAGCACCAGTTTCCCATATACGGATCCAGCTATGTGGTCTCACTTTTTTTCCAAGACACGTGTGCTGGGCACATGTTCAGTCCATTGGGCCCAGTTCTCTTGGCTGGAGCTTGGATAACTTGAAGGGATACTTGAAATCAGTCCTGGACGACGAGCTGAAACGCTTTCAGTAGTTGGCCCACCGCCCGGAACAGCCCGTGGGTTTTACTGCTTTTTTTTGGTTGCTGCTTTTATGAAGATGATACTGTGTTAGTGGAGGTCTCGGCTATGAAAGCACAAAGGCGGGATGGGGTGGGCAGGTGTGTTAACCTTCCTGGCACTTGCATGTTGAAGACGATGCTACGCTACGGCACGTTGTCTTGGAAGTTGCTTCATGTCATCAATTTAAAAATTACGAGCGCTGTGTTAACCTTCTTGGCACTTGCATCTTGAAGACGGTGCTACGCTACGGCATGTTGTCTTGGAAGTTGCTTCATGTAATCAATTATAAAATCACGAGCGGTGTGTTAGCCTTCCCGACACTTGCATCTTGAAGACGATGCTACGCTACGGCACGTTGTCTTGGAAGTTGCTTCATGTCATCAATGGAAAAATCACGAGCGGTGTGTTAACGTTCCTGGCACATGCATTTTGAGATGATGCTACGATACTTGGAAGTTGTTTCATGTCATCCATTATAAAAAACACGAGCGGTGTGTTAACGTTCCTGGCACTTGCATCTTAAAGACGATGCTACACTACGGCACGTTGTTTTGGAAGTTGCGTCATTGCTTCATGTCATCAATTATAAAATCACGAGCGGTGTGTTAACCTTCCTGGCAATTGCATCTTGAAGACGATCTGCAATACGGCATGTTGTCTTGGAAGTTGCTTCATGTCACCAATTATAAAATCACGAGCGGTGTGTTAACCTTCCTGGCAATTGCATCTTGAAGACGATGCTGCAATACGGCATGTTGTCTTGGAAGTTGCTTCATGTCACCAATTATCAAATCACGAGCGGTGTGTTTACCTTCCTGGCACTTGCATCTGGAAGACGATGCTACGCTACGGCACGTTGTCTTGGAAGTTGTTTCATGTCATTAACTAAAAAAATCACGAGCGGTGCATTAACCTTCCTGGCACTTGCATCTTGAAGACGATGACGTTGTCTTGGAAGTTGCTTCATGTCATTAATTATAAAATCACGAGCGGTGTCTTAACCTTCCTGGCACTTGCATCTTGAAGACGACGCTACGCTACGGCACGTTGTCTTGGAAGTTGTTTCATGTCATTAATTATAAAATCATGAGCGGTGTGTTAACCTTCTTGGCACATGCATCTTGCAGATGATGCTACGCTAAGGCACGTTGTCTTGGAAGTTGTTTAATGTCAGTAATTAAAAAATCACGAGCGGTGTGTTAACCTTCCTGGCGCTTGCGTCCTGAAGATAATGCTATGCTACGGCACGTTGTTGTGGAAGTTGCCTTGTGTCATTATAGGGTCAGGTGTCGGCAGGTGTGTTAACGTTCCTGGCACTTGTAACATTGTATCTTGAAGATGATGCTACGCTACGGCACGTTGTCTTGGAAGTTGCTTCATGGGATTAAGTTAGGGGTCAGGGGCGAGCGGGTGTGTTAACCTTCCTCGCGTTTACATCTTAAAGAAGATGCTACGCTACGGCACGTTGTCTTGGAAGTTGTTTCATGTCATGTTGGGGTCAAGGGTGGGCGGGTGTGTTTACCTCCCTTGCACTTGCGTCTTGAAGATGACGCTACACTACGGTAAGTTGTCTTGGAGGTTGCATCATGCCATTATGGGGTCAAGGGCGGGCGGGTGTGTTAACATTCCTTGCGTTTTCATCATGCAGATGATACTACACTACGGACCAGCAGAAAGTGTTTGTAAACAAAAACGTCCTTACCAACATGCACGCTGGCAAATAAATTTCTGGCCAGTGTTGGGGCGGACGGCCACAGAATGGCTGACCCAGCGTTATCTGAATTGGTGTTTTAATTAATTTGTTTTCCTGCCGGAATTCTATTCAGCATTAAAGAAATTTCTGAAAGCAAACTGATTTTGAAACATGAAGAATGAACAAAAACAGCTTTGGTCGCAGCGCAGATGAAATTAACCCGCCATTACCACATAACAAGACTGTTTCCCCCCAAACAACTACGCGTTCAAAGAATTCATAATAGTTCAAAAACAAACTGCGATGTGAAATGCGGGTTTGAATGCAAATTAAATTAGGAACTACAAATGAAGATTGTTCAACCCGTGTAATTACGCATTTCAAGCTTTGCTAATGTTGCAAGATTTTTGCCCAATGGAATTGCGAACATAACGGGCATTTGGACAAAATTTGGACTGTGAGAATTGTCATGTCGTGTCATGGTCTGCTGTGGGCGGTGGACCTAATTACACCGAACTTCAACCATTGCGGTTTTTCCAGTAGAATTTTTGCCCATACACCTTCCCCAAAAGAGAAACGGCTGCATAGTTCCACCGTCCGGGCCTGAAGATTGGAAGTGTCCATAGCTTGGGGTGGGCAAAGCCGTGGCCGACCCCATAGTGCCATAACTCGCGGTGTAGGGTGTGTGACGCGGCATTGCCATGTGGCTATAATTTTGGGATGGCATCGTCGGCTCCACTGCTTCTTGCCCTGAAAAACAGATGGAAAACAGGTGGGATAAGATTGGAAAACTGATAAGCAAAACGTTGGGAAACGTTGGGAACATGTGGGAATATTGTGCACAGTTGCAAAGCTACAAAATAGCAATCACCAGTCAACATCCTAGGCGAACCCAGTCAGAAACAACTCCTCGAGAACATTGAACAGACAATCCTAGAAACATCCAGTAAGATTCCTAACAAATAGTCCATGAGCATGCAGCACAGCAATCCCCCTAAAAAAGGAAATCCGAACTATAAAATACATATAATATAAATGAATTAGTGCATATATCGATATCTATATATATGTATATAGAAACAGTTATATTAGTCGGTATCTAACTAGTATGATTCATATGTCCAAACTATAAAATTCAAACATATTCAAACTATACATTGTCTAATTCTTTTTGGGGGCTGCTCTCTCCGGACTTCTCTGTTCGCAAGCAATGTCCAGAGATCCAGAGATAGGGGTGAACCGCGGCTAACTGGTGTTTCAATTAAGAAAACTGATTTTGAAACATGAAGAATGAAAAAAACAGCTTTGGTCGTAGCGCAGATGAAATTTGAATACGCCCGCAATTACATGCAATTACCACATAACAAGACTGTTTCCCCCCAAACAACTACGCGTTCAAAGAATTCATAATAGTTCAAAAACAAACTGCGATGTGAAATGCGGGTTTGAATGCAAATTAAATTAGGAACTACAAATGAAGATTGTTCAACCCGTGTAATTACGCATTTCAAGCTTTGCTAATGTTGCAAGATTTTTGCCCAATGGAATTGCGAACATAACGGGCATTTGGACAAAATTTGGACTGTGAGAATTGTCATGTCGTGTCATGGTCTGCTGTGGGCGGTGGACCTAATTACACCGAACTTCAACCATTGCGGTTTTTCCCCACATCTTTGTGTGGGGTTCTTGTTTTTGATTCTGTATCCCGGGCTCCGCCTCCTCCTCCGCCTCCTCCTCCGCCCTCCTCCACACTTTGTCCACACACACTTTATCAACATACACTTTGTCACCACACACTTTGTCCACACACACTTTGTCACCACACACTTTGTCCACAACACTTTGTCCACACACACTTTGTCCACACACACTTTGTCACCACACACTTTGTCCACAAACACTTTGTCCACAAACACTTTGTCCACACACGCTTTACACATTTGTCACACACACACTTTGTCCACACACACTTTGTCACCACACACTTTGTCCACACACACTTTATCAACATACACTTTGTCAACATACATTTTCTCGACAAACACTTTGTCACCACACACTTTGTCCACACACACTTTATCAACATACACTTTGTCAACATACATTTTCTCAACAAACACTTTGTCACCACATACTTTGTCACCACACAGGTTGTCCACACACACTTTATCAACGAATACTTCGTCAACACACACTTTGTCACCACATACTTTGTCACCACACAGGTTGTCCACACACACTTTATCAACGAATACTTCGTCAACACACACTTTGTCACCACACACTTTGTCACCATACACTTTGGCACAACTTGACATCCACCTTCGTTTCACGTGGCAGGCGTGGCACAAACTGACATCTGCCGTCGTTTTGCGTGGCAGGCGTGGGACAGATGCTACTGGGTGGCGCCCTTGGGCCGGGATTTGGCGCCTGGGGCGCCGCGCCACTTTGCGTGGCCGGCGTGGCACAACCTCACATCCACCTTGGTTTCACGTGGCAGGCGTGGCACTCATGGCACTGGGTGGCGCGCTTGGACTGGCTTGGGCGCCTGTGACGCCGCGGCACTTTGCGTGGCAGGCGTGGCACAACCTGACATCCACCTTCGTTTCACGTGGCAGGCGTGGCACAAACTCACATCTACCGTCGTTTTGCGTGGCAGGCGTGGCACTCATGGCACTGGGTGGCGCGCTTGGACTGGCTTGGGCGCCCGTGACGCCGCGGCACTTTGCGTGGCAGGCGTGGCACAACCTGACATCCACCTTCGTTTCACGTGGCAGGCGTGGCACAAACTCACATCTACTGTTGTTTTGCGTGGCAGGCGTGGGACAGATGGCACTGGGTGGCGCGCTTGGACGGGCTTGGGCGCCCGTGACGCCGCGGCACTTTGCGTGGCAGGCGTGGCACAACCTGACATCCACCTTCGTTTCACGTGGCAGGCGTGGCACAAACTCACATCTACCTTCGTTTCACGTGGCAGGCGTGGCACTCACGGCACTGGGTGGCGCGCTTGGACTGGCTTGGGCGCCTGTGACGCCGCGGCACTTTGCGTGGCAGGCGTGGCACAAACTCACATCTACTGTCGGTTTGCGTGGCAGGCGTGGCACAAACTCACATCTACCGTCGTTTTGCGTGGCAGGCGTGGCACTCATGGCACTGGGTGGCGCGCTTGGACTGGCTTGGGCGCCTGTGACGCCGCGGCACTTTGCGTGGCAGGCGTGGCACAAACTCACATCTACTGTCAGTTTGCGTGGCAGGCGTGGCACAAACTCACATCCACCGTCGTTTTGCGTGGCAGGCGTGGGACAGATGGCACTGGGTGGCGCGCTTGGACTGGCTTGGGCGCCCGTGACGCCGCGGCACTTTGCGTGGCAGGCGTGGCACAAACTCACACCCACCTTCGTTTCACGTGGCAGGCGTGGCACAAACTCACATCTACCTTCGTTTCACGTGGCAGGCGTGGCACTCATGGCACTGGGTGGCGCGCTTGGACTGGCTTGGGCGCCTGTGACGCCGCGGCACTTTGCGTGGCAGGCGTGGCACAAACTCACATCTACTGTCGGTTTGCGTGGCAGGCGTGGCACAAACTCACATCTACCGTCGTTTTGCGTGGCAGGCGTGGGACAGATGGCACTGGGTGGCGCGCTTGGACCGGCTTGGGCGCCTGTGACGCCGCGGCACTTTGCGTGGCAGGCGTGGCACAAACTTACACGTAGTGTCGTTTTGCGTGGCAGGCGTGGCACAAAACCTCATATCTACCGTCGTTTTGCGTGGTAGGCGTGGGACAGATGGCACTGGGTGGCGCGCTTGGACCGGCTTGGGCGCCTGTGACGCCGCGGCACTTTGCGTGGCAGGCGTGGCACAAACTCACATCTACTGTCGGTTTGCGTGGCAGGCGTGGCACAAACTCACATCCACCGTCGTTTTGCGTGGCAGGCGTGGGACAGATGGCACTGGGTGGCGCGCTTGGACTGGCTTGGGCGCCCGTGACGCCGCGGCACTTTGCGTGGCAGGCGTGGCACAAACTCACATCTACTGTCGGTTTGCGTGGCAGGCGCGGCACAAACTCACATCCACCGTCGTTTTGCGTGGCATGCGTGGCACTGATGGCACTGGGCAAGTGAAATTAGTCATTTGCATGC